TTTAAAGGTCTGAATTAACATGATTTTACTATTACAGAAAACTCTTAACCAAGAAGATGAAGCTGCAAATAACTAGACATCTCAACTAACCATCATTACAGTAAAATAGCTCAGGAAACAAGACTAGCTTAGAAACCTCCCCTCAGTTTCCCAAAACTAAACTATTATGCCACAAATTATGCCCCATCACAATCAGCACCCTCTATCCCCACCCCGCCCAGTGAAATATTACCTAAAAACAGACTCCAAAAAACTCAAATATTCTGCCTTTCCTCTCCCCTACTCTGAGACACTGCTGAGACTTTGTCAAGGTACTACTCTCCCTTACTAAGGTGAATAATAAATTTCATTTTGCCTTCTCAATAGGTTATTTTGGGGGAGCCAGAATTCAACATAGGGCATAGAGCAGGGGGAAGGTAAAGGAATTGGCTTTTGTCATGCCAGGCACTGGGCTACCCCCATTTATCAACCCTATTTCCGTTTCACCTGTCGTTAGGTCATTTTGTTCACTGAAACCCTTTAAAACATTAGAGGGAGCCTGCAGACCACCAGGAACTCATTTAGATTCTAAAGTTCTCAGCATCTACTTCCACCGCTAGTCAGGTTTTTTCCCCCTCAATCTATTCTTCGTTCCCCTTCCCCTTTTTCCTTCTCTCTTCCATATGCCTAAAACCTGAAGACGGTATATCTGAAATCAACTCAACAGCAACCAACATCATTATGTAAAGCGCTATGCAAATACGACTTCAAGGGCCTGCCCTGGAAACAGACAGCTGCTCCCTTCGGGAAATACCTTCAGCTGTATCAGCTATTCTGCATTTCGTAGGTTTGTAGCTACGGGGTGGGGGATAAAACACTGGTTTTCACCTAAATCAGCTTATCTCAAGTTCTTAGGAAGGCCCATCTTTATCACACCTTCTTTATCTGTGATGGCTTTACCCAACATTAATCACCTCCCTTCTCAACCTGAGCATCTTCAAGGATTTCAACCAGTCCTCCATGCAGATATGGACATTGGCTTCTGCTGTTCTGTGTGCAAACAAACTTTGAGGTCACAAATAGTTAGGGAATGCTGTGAAAACACTGGTGGAATGGGTGAGGGAGACAGGCCTGTGGCCCCAGGAGTTCCCCTTGCCCCTCAGTCACCCCTCTGACCACACTGCTCTCCCCAGGCTGCCTTCCTCTGCAGCTGGCCTTTTTGAATAGATTGCTGTCTCCGGTGAAAGTTTCAGTCTGGCTGCTTTTGATTACCTGAACACCTTAAACCCTGAGCTGGGCTCAGATGTAGGAATAGCACTGAACCCAGGAGCCCAGCCTCCCGGAAAGGATTCCACATACCAGGGACAAGTGAAGCCACTTCATTCTCATCTTGTCCCTGCAGCCTGCCCACTGACTCCCACTGCCCACCCACCAACAACATGTCTGGGATACCAACCTTTGAAAATTCAGGGCCTGGTATCTTCTGTCCCCCGGCTCCCTTCTGCTTATATTCATTTGGCTTGCAAGGAATAATAAGAGGTGATAATGACTGATAATGGCGGTAACAGCCAACATAGCAGCCCCTCTGTTATGTCGACTATCTCATTCAGAGTTTGGACCTGATACTTATTCATTCCCCATTTACTGATTGGCAAGATGTTCGGGCATGTACAATGAACACAAGCTTCCCACCCTCAAGGAAGTTGGTGACAGCAACAGTTAGGAAGCTACGAACAATAATAGATTTATTGCTAAAACCTATTGTATTGTTATTTCCACTACATTGTTTCCTCTAAGAACCAACTAGCAACAGAAACTGGATGTAAGTGTTGTTCTAAAATGTCTCTGTGGGTCTGGGTCTCCCCACCAGTTACACTCCCCTCCCCGTCACTTCTCAGAGACACACAGGATTCCCATTCAGCCCTGTCTTTCCTGCAGGTGCTAATGATTTAGTCCTTATTCTTCTCCACCTGCTATCACCCACTCTGAGTTCCTTTCTCCCCAGGGACGCTGCAAACCAGGACCAAAGGAATCGGAACTTCTGCACTCAAAAGTAAACGGGATTACCTACTTTCTTTTAACTTCCTTTCAACTATGGCCCACATGCGAATTCCAGCCCATTGTCTGTTTCTGTACCACCTGGGATGTAAGAATGGTTTTTACATTTTTTAAGTATTGAAAAAAAAATTCAAAATATTATTTCATGACTTGTGAAAATTATATGGAATTCAAATTTCAGTGCCCATAAATAGTTTAACTGGAACACAGCCAGGCTCATTTTCTTTTTGTTGTTTAGAACTTCTCACCACAAAGACAGAGTTGAGCAGTTGCAAGAGACCATATAGCCCACAAAAGCCTAAAATATTTGTTTTCTGGCCTTTTACAGAAAGTTTGCTGACCCCTAGCCTACAACATCCAGGTTGAAAATGGCCATGGGCAGCTCTTAAATGTGAACTAGTGCAAGGTGCTCCACAGATCTTGCCTCATTTACTCCTCAGAACCTCATAGGATAGGTATTATCACCATTTTTTAGATGAAAAACTGAGGCTGAGAGATAAAACTTGCCTAAGGTCATGGAAATGGAAGAGAGACGCCTGACTCCAGAACTGAAATTCTTCCCACTAACCAAAAGACCCATTGCCGTTGATTCAGACTCATAGTGACCCTATAGGACAGGGTAGAACTGCCCCATAGGGTTTCCAAGGAGCGGCTGGTGGATTTGAACTGGCAGTCTTTTGGTTAGCAGCCAAACTCTTAACCACTGTGCCACCAGGGCTCCTTCTTTCCACTGCACAAGCAAAAAACCACCACAAACCCATTACCATCTAGTTGATTGCGACTCATGGCAACCCCGTGTGTTACAGAGAACTAAGAACTCCTCCATAGATTGTCTTGGCTATAATCTTTACAGAAGCAGATTGCAGGCCTTTGCTCTATGGCACCACTGGGTGGGTCTGAACTGCCAACCTTTAGGTTAGTAGTCAAGCGCCAACTATTCGCACCACCTAGGGACCTTCCACTCCACATTTCCTTCTTAAAATTCTGAAGGGCACCACATTCTGAACCAGTCTCATCTGGGCGTCCGTCATTGGTCCTGATTTTCTCCCTTGGGGCTAAGAACCTTTCAAATATCTGAAGACTAATTTTTTGCCTTGCCTGAGCCATCTATTCCCTGAGTTTAACATTGATTCTTTTAGAAGCTTCTATACGGCATGCTTTGAAGTCCCTTCACCAACCAGATCACTTCCTCTGAACATGCTCCAGTTTGTCTATAATCTTCGTAAAGAATGGTGCCTACCCAAAAGCAAAGATGGGAAGGCAGGAAGGGGCAGGAAAACCGGACAAATGGAAATGGGGAACTCAGGGTGGTAATGGGGAAGGAGTGCTAACACAATGAGGGGACTGCAGCCAATGTTACAAAGCAATTTGTATATAAATTGATCGGGAGACTAATTTGCTCTGTAAACTTCACCTAAAGCACAATAAAATGTTCAAAAAAAAAAAAAAAAAAAAAAGGTGCCTAAAACAGAACTTGATACAGGGGTATGGTGCCATCAGCAACAAACAGGCTGGAGCCATCATCACCCTAGTTCTATATATTCTATGTTTTTCCTACTTTATACATGAGTTGATTTTTTTGGATCCAAAGGCAGAATCCTTATTACTACTGAATTTCACTTTCTAAGATGGGTGGGTTTATCATTCCTGCTATTAAGGTCTTTTTGAATCCTTATGCTGCAAGCTGAAGTTACTGTTTCTTCGAACTCCTCACCATCCACAAATGATAGTGTATGCATTGTTTTTCATCTGGGTCACTGACAAAAATGCATCAAGGTTTGTCCTTCATTCCAGAGGGTGGCACTCGTTTCATCAAGAGCCTCACACTTCATTTGCTCTCCTTCTGTCCTGTAGATCTTGTTTGGATGGTGGACCCAAGTGAGATTTAGTCACATTGCAGAGAAAACCCCATGTTGACATCCTTACTTTCAATGTTCTAACACCCACATATCCACCTCCATAGAGAAAGTTAACTTCTCCAGCTACTCCTCCTCCTGCATTCTTTTCCATTCCAGGTCACTGTGAGCAGGACACAGGCTGCCCAGCCCTCCCCTCCCCAGCTGTCCTGAATCCCAGCACTACCACTTGCCTAGTACTGTGTGAACTTAGGCGAGTTCCTTAGCATTTTTGCACCTCATTTTCCCATCTGTGAAAAGGGATAGTAATACCAAAACCAAAACCCATTGCTGTTGAGTCAATTCCAACTCACAGCGACACTATAGGACAAAGCAGAACTGCCCCATAGGGTTTCCAAGGAGCAGCTGGTGAATTTAAACTGCGGACATTTTTTGGTTAGCAGCCAAGCTCTTAACCACTGTGCCACAAGGGCTCCAGGAATAGTGATAGTATGTAGGAAATAAGTCAATGGATAATAGTAGTCACTCAACAAGTTACAGAAAGGGGTCGGGGGGAGGTCAGGGAGTTTCATTTCATACTGAGTTTTGCAGCTAGTTCCAGAAAGAAGAAATAATAAAATGGAGAAGCTACAGAATTAAAGAGATATATATTTAAATGTAACTTCTACTTTTTCTTCATCTGTCCACTTTAAGATGTACTGTTCCCTCATTGAGAAATGAACCCAACTCCACTTTCTTCCACTCTACCCTCCCTTGGCCTTGATCTGTAGATCCTGTTAACACAGGAACAAACACATCCTTAACTCAATCATTTGATCCTGTGTGGAAGAGGGTTCATGTCTCATGGAAAACACTAATCTCCATGTAACTGTCCCCATCCCCCAAGTCTCCCTTTTACATAGGAAATATCCATTTGGGTCATTCCCATTCAAGCACAAGCCAATGATACATTAAATTAAAATGTACCTATCAAGCTTTATGGAAGGACACCCTTAATCTCTTAATTCACAAGACTATCCGGCAGTTTTTGAATGTCTAAGTCACTCTGAGTCCCAATTAATTTTCCTTTTAATGTAGAACTTCAGAATTTAAACAAACTCAATGTGAAAAATAAACGTTTATTACAAAAATTAGTTTTGACATTCTAAAATGAAAGCAGACAAGGTGTTTTTCAACTCAAAAGGGCTGTTGGAAACTGGAGGTACATTCCAAGGCTAGTAATAACTGACTCATCCTCATCCCAAGCGGTCTACGGTGAGGAACCATTCACCTCAAACTTAAAGATCAGTGAGTCACCTTTGCTTCGGTGTGGACTTTCACCACACCCCTCCCACCCTATCCTCCAACCAGGATGCAGAACTGAAACATACGTCAAAAATCTCATTCTTACTGAACCATTTCATAATCTCTACTTTCCTTGTTTAATTGGATTTTGTTTCCCTCTGGAAATTTTATTTTTTATTGGTGCGTGACACTTACTGATGGTTTGTTTTCCTTTTGGATCCTTGATAGAAAAAGCAACCTCAATTCAGTTAGGGATTTCCAGGTAGGGGAGCAGATTATAGCAATGTGGCACATTAGTATCCTCCACCAAAAGAAATAAGCAGAATCAACCCAACAGGATCCCTTATTTTCCCTCTTGCTAGTTAATAAATAGATTTGGAAATGTGTTCGGAGATTGTAGTAGACGAGGGAACAGAAGGTTAAGGGCAAAGAAGGGTCCAGATGTGGAGAAGGAAAGCAATGACAGTTGGTATCCTGCTTAATCTCGCTCTCTCACACACTGTCCATCCACCTCAGACTCCCACTCCCCTAAATAAGCCTACTTCTCCACACAACCTGAGAAATCTCCCTGCCTCAGGCTCTGGAGCACTTCTTCCTGCAGCCTTACAGAAATTCATTAATGCACCTGGTTAGGCAGGAGGGAGGGTAGGCACTTTATCCTCTCCCTTGGTGGAACAGGCCAAGTAGAACCCCAGAACACAGCATCAGCTTCACCCGGGTGCCCACCTCCAGCAAAGGAAGGCCTGGCCACAGAGGCCACAAAAGAGTTCTGAAGCTCTGCCCTAAAATAGGAACCAGGAAGGGGTGGCACCAGGAGGCAGGACAGGGAGCTGGAACCAGCCCCAGGTTGCTAGGAAGTACAGTTTTGAGGCATTTTCCTGTTTGTACAGAGGAGACCAGGAGCCCTCGAAGACTTCATTTCCCCCACTCCCCACAACAAGAATCTTGGACAGACCAAGTTTTTATTTCCAGCGACATCCAGGTACATAGAGACACACACAAGCACAATCTCATCAAAGAGCTAAGTAGCCCTCCAACACACACACAATCTTAGCACAGAGCTAGCACCACACGCACACAATCTCACACATGTCCCCAGAGCCCTACAGACATGTCTTTAATGGGTCTGCCCAATTGTTCCAGCTGAGGGAAGGGCGATGGCTTGAGCTATCAGCTCCAGCTTTGTTTTCTTTAGACCAATGGTTTTAAAACTTTTTCACTTCATGTTCCCTGGAAGCTGACGGTGCTCGCCAGTAAAAACTCCAGTCTCCCCTACAGCCATGGTCTGTGTCAGTCTGTCTGTGTTCAGGAGGATTCCAGTGCAGGAGGATTCCAGTGGCACTCCCATAGGAAGACAGAAGAGAGAGTGGGCTCTGGAGGCAGAAGAGACTTGATGCCGTCGTCACCAAACAACCAAGTCAGCAGCTCCAGTCTTCAATCCCCATTCTAGAACAGCTCAGCACTGGAGGAAAGAGCTTAGAAACTAGGCTCCAGATCCCTAGTCAAAGTCCACGACACACCAAGTGGACAGTGATCACAGCATATTCCTTGGATACTGGCCACTCTTGCTATCTACTTAGAAAGGAAGTCACCAAGCATCACTCAGGGGCTCTGGTCTGACTCCACACGGGGTTGGGGACTGAAAGTTTGACACAAGTCCCAGGCCACTCAGCAGGGGCAGGAAAGGAAGGGAGGCATGAAGGAAGAAGAGACACATAACTGACATTACTTAAAAACACACACACACACATCCTAACTAAGACAAAAGTGGGGCCCCTGATGGAGGCTAGAAGACAAATAAGGCATCCTGTGAAACTATACACACCAGGGGCCAGGGCCTAGTAGCACCTGAGTGAGGCAAGCACAGAAGACAAGAGGTGAGCTGGACCAGGATCACACCAGGAATGACGAGGTCTGTCTGAAATCCCCCTGTGGAGATAAAACTTCCAGTCACTCTCTGTAGGCGTCTTTAGCTGGTCACCCCCAACATAAACACAGACTAGAACCCCTGAGTCCAACTAGAGGGCCCTCCCTCTCCCAGGCAGGCATACTCACTTCATTTCGAGCAGTGGGCTGGCTGTAAATCACCTTCTTACCTGAAGTCCTGTAGACAAGCCAGAAGACATAGATGCTCAGTCCCCAAGCCCTTCCCTTAACCTCTATTTGCCCTATTTAGATGCCAGAACTGAGAGCTTTATGGGAAGAATGGAGTGGTCAGGAGGGAAGTGTGGGCAGAGGGAAACACGACAAGCCCAGGGCCACAGAAAGCAGGGGGGAGTCCCAGATGTCTTTCCCACCAGGCTGGTTGCCTCCACCTCCAATCCCTTCCCCTGGGCCCCTTTCAGCTTCAAACCACATGCATTCATGCTGTCAAGCTCAGAGAGCCTCAGGAGAACACCTCACTCACCCTTTCTTTGCTCCTGAAAGAGAAGAAATGGGATGGTGAGTGTCAGCTGGACAGAAGACGGCATGGTGCAGGAAAATGGGGGAGCTAGCATGTAGCACTTGATATATGTTAGAGGGGCAAGTGGTGCTCCTGGAGGAAAACCCTGGAACACATGGGCACAGTATCTGTGCCAGAATGCAGATGAGGCCCATGAACCACATCCTGGAATGTGAACAATACAAAGGAGAGCCTTTGAGGGCGAATACTTACTCTCAAAATAGCCTCGGCTATAGGCAAACCAGATGCCAAAAATCAGGACCCCAAGGAGGATGAGTGTTACAAGGACAGCTGCCACAATGCCGCCCACATTCAGCTCCACTGTGAGACACAAACAAGAGGCCAGGCATCTGGGTGCCCACTCATGGTACTGACACCACCACCACCACCACCACCACCAAGATGAAAAGCAGACCCCGGCCCCCATGCTCACCCTACCCCAGGTCTGAGCCCAAGGCCCTGCCACACCCTCACTTACCAGCTTCCATGACCACAGCATCGGACCTCGCGGGTGACCCATACCCATTCTGTGCCTGACAAGAGTATGCTCCAGTATCAAAGGCCGACACAGGATCAAAGATCTGGAGGGTAGAAAACAAATGGGCTTCCTGCTTGAAGAAGCTAAGTGCCTATCTGCCTATCTTTTATGCCTCCTGACCCCAACTCCAAGTTCATCTTGTTGCTTGTTCTTCCTCCCCACTTTCAGGAGTTCTATAACTGTGTTCCCCACCACCTTGCACCCCCACCCCATCTATACCAGTTCTCCGGTATTTTGATTCAGGGTATAGGAAGAGTTGCTGAAGGCACGGCTGCTCTTGGGCTCCATAGGCATCAGTGTCCCATCCTTGAACCAGTAGTACTCAGAAGGTGGGGAGCCATCTTGCTCTGAGCAGGTCAGCACCGCTCGGTTCCCAATGGTGGCAGAGGAGGGGATGTTGACTGTAGGCTTAGATGGAGGCACTGGGGAGGGAGAGAAGGTGCTGAACACAAGGGTAGGGAGGGCTGCCTGGAGTCTAAGTAACCAAGATGACACCCCATCCATCATAGCTAACCTCCCTCCTGACTCCGCCCTAAGTTTCCACCTAACCAAGGACTCATCACTTCTCCCCAGCAGCACTGTGACTCTGAACACACCACCTACGGCATCCTTACCATCAATGAGCTCCTAGGCCCAGCAGAGTCAGCTAAGGGCTATGGAAGCAACTGATTGAAGGCCCACACAGAAGATACAAGGCACATACCAAGCACAATGAGTTGGACGTTGACCTCCCCATAGTTGTTGCCACCATCCTCAGAGACCATACATGTATACATCCCAGTGTCTTTCCGGGTTACGGATTGGAAAGTGATGCCACTCTGTGAGAAGGTAACTCGGTCCTCATAGGAAGCTACCAGGAGAGAGGAAGCAGGGCAGGGACACAGTAAGCTGGAAAGCTAAGAAAGGTGATGGTGAGGTGGCATCCAAGGCACACAGCGGCCCTCTTCCTCCCCCAGGAAAGCGATGGGAAGGTCGTGGGGACTTAAGGCCCAGGGTGTGCCCCTCCTCTGGAATCCCGATCCCCGCAATTGATCCCACCACAACCTAGACACAGGAAACGGATGGAGCGACTCACCTGTGATCTTGCTGTTATAGCAAACGAGGCTGGTGGTGTCGCCTTGGACAAACTTCCACTCCACACGGGGAGAGGAGAAGCCCGAGTAGGAGCAGGACAACGTGGCGGCTGCAGACAGGATCAAAGTCAGCAGGCAAGAGGCACAGCAGCAAATGGAAAAGAGGGGATCAGCCCAAAGCCACAGGCTGGCCTGGATATTCTCCAGGTCCCAAGGGGGCTGCCACCCGTCCACCCTCATGCCCTACGCCCACTTCCACAGCCCATCCCAACTCACGTTCATTCTCAGCAACTTTGACTACAGATTCAGAGGTGTACACTGAACCCTTGCTCAACACCAGGGGGCCTGTGGAGAAGGAGAGACGTGGGCCCATCAGGAGTGGACAGAGAAGCACGTGGAGAGGGAATAGCAGACCCATCTGATGGGGATCTGAGGCCCAGACTCTCTGGGGGCTTCTTCAGGCTGAGATCCTAAGGGGGAGGGACTCAAGAGATCCAAGCTCCTCTTGGGCTCACACCCTTTCACCATTATCCTAAATATCTTCTTTAAACGTTTTCTGCTACAATGGCAGGCCAACATTTCTTTTATCAATGGAAATAAAATATTTCTTTCACAAATGCAATTTCTTTCATTTCTAATTTTTCCCTCTGTGACTCCCAGTAATCTAACGAGATTCCTACTCATCCAGAGGCAGCTTCCAAAATGACATTTCATGGTTGAGAGAAAGCTTCTCAAGAAATAATTGCAGCCACTTGTCGGACAATCCTGGAAGGAAGCCAGAAAAGCTGGAGGCAAAGGAGAGACAGAAGGGGAGGAGCAGTAATGAGGATGATGATAATAACGTGTATAACATTTGTGCTTTTTAAAGTGTTTTCACATACATCATACTGTTTGATCCTTGAAATGAGCATGACAGATCAGCAAGACAAGTATTATTATCCCAATTTTACACAAGGAACTGAGACTACAAGAAGTTAAGAACGTGCCTAAAATCACAGCTGGTTGTGAGATAGAGTTAGGACTATCACTGGGCTCAGGTCATCTCATTAGACTCTCTAACTGCCCAATGGAGAAAGGTAAAGAAAAGGTGGTGGGTGGGGGTGAAAGGAGGAAGTGAGGAGGGAAAAGGCGAATTAAATAATGTGAGGGGGGACACAGTGGGGGTCATAGACGGGGTTCACACATTCTGAATTAAGAACCAGTGACAGAATTCTGGGATAGCAGGAGAACTGCTGTGTTATAAAACTACACGCATACAATTAATCTCTTTCGTGTTCTCAAAGATTGAATTCATGAAGTATGCTTTTATCTAGCTTTTAAGTCAGAGCCCCAGCTTCCTTAGATAAACGCAAAAAGATCTGTGTAATGCAAGCACGTCTGTAAAACGTAAGTAACATCTTTCCTTTTTTTAATTACTCAAGTAACTATAAATACAGTCTCTTGACCTCAGAGGCTCCCCTTCCTCATATGAAACATGAGAGGTTTACACTAAATGTTCTCTAGAGTCTTTTAGGTTCTTTTCTTTCTTCCTTTTGCCACTAACGTTTAGAATACATTTATTTCAATTTTACACAGCAACGCTGAAATAGTCTGGATAAGTATTATCCCTTCATATTACAGGTAAGAAAATTAAGTGTCCAAAAGGTTAAGACCCAACGTTTCATAGCTACTGGCAGAGCTAAGATTAATGTACAGGTTTCTTAATGCCTATATCCATTATGGAATTCCTGGTGGTGTAGTGGTTAAGAGCTACGGTTGCTAAATAAAAGGTCGGCAGTTTGAATCCACCAGAAGCTTCTGGAAACTCTATGGGGCAGCTCTACTCTGTCCTTTAGGGTTGCTAAGAGTCGGAATGGACTGAACAGCAATGGGTTTGGTTTTTTGGTTTTTATAGCCATTATACCACACTCTTTTTTTGTTAACCATGTTGTTTCTCAGAAAAGCCATTGGTTAAATGGAGGCAAACTATGCAACAAAATTTCATTCTTATTTAAGTCAGGTCCCTTTTATCTAGAAATTATTTCTAATAATATTACTTTGTATCTGGGTATTTGGCATTATATTTTTAATGTCAAGTCTATACTCAAATGTAATAACAGACACAGAAATTAAATCAAATGGCCTTTACTAAACTGATAACCCTATAAGGACGTGCAAGCCTCTTACTCAGCTCTCATCAAGAATGCTGGTGATGTCTGCATTTGCTTTGAATGCATATAACTAAAGTATTTATGAGGATGTGATTTAAGTTCTAAATAATTTATAACTAGTAAGACTTCATTACACATAAATTGGACATCATCAAAATTAAAAACATTTATGATTCAAAGGACACCATCAAGAAAGGAAAAGACAACTCAGAAAACGGGATAAAATTTATGCAAATCGTATCTGATAAGAGACTTGTATCTAACATATATAAATAACTATTACAATTCAATAACAAAAAGACATTTCTCCAAAGAAGATATACAAATGGTCAATAAGCACATGAAAAGACGCCCACCATCATTAGCCATCAGTGAAGTACAAATAAAAACTACAATAAGATACCACTTCACACCCACCAGGATGGCTATAATAAAAAATATGGGAAATAACAGGTGATGGCAAGGACGTGGAGAAGTTAGAACCCTCAAACGTTGCTGGTGATAATGTAAAATGGTGCAGCTGTGTAGGAATACAGCTGGGCAGTTTCTCAAAGAGTTAAACAGTTACCATAAAATTTTTTTTTTTTAAAAAAAAAACCTTGCTGTGGAGTTGATTCCAACTCGTAGCGACCCTATAGGACAGAGTAGAACTACCCCCTAGGGTTTCCAAGGAGCGCCTGGTGGATTCGAACTGCCGACCTTTTGGTAAGCAGCCGAGCTCTTAACGACTGTGCCACCAGTTACCATATGACCTAGCAATTCCACTCCTAGGTATACATCCAAGAGAAAGGAAAACAAATACACACATTTTATTTATCCATTTGTCAGCTGATCGACATTTGGGTTGTTTTCACTTTTTGGCTATTATGATAATGCTGCTATGAACATTCATATACAAGTTTTTATGTAGACATTTCTTTTCCTTTCTCTTTGGTGTATACCTAGGATTAGAATTGTTAGGTCATACGGTAACTGTCTGGTGGCGCAGTGGTTAAGAGCTCGGTTGCTAGCCAAAAGGTCAGCAGTTCAAATCCACTACCCGCTCCATGGAAACCCTATGGAGCAGTTCTACTCTGTCCTACAGGGTCACTAGAAGTCAGATTCAACTCAATGGCAACGGGTTTGGTTGGTTTTTATATCAATACAATCCACCACTTTCAGTCTGTAGTACTGTGGTGGCTTGCATGTTGCTATGATGCTGGAAGCTATGCCACCAGTATTTCAAATACCAGCAGGGTCACCCATGATGGGCAGGTTTCAGCAGAGCTTCCAGACTAAGACAGACTAGTAAGAAAGGCCTAGAGATCTACTTCCAAAAACCAGCCAGTGAAAACCCTACGAATCACAACGGAATATGGTCTGATACAGTGCTGAAAGATGAGCCCTCTAGGTTAGAGGGCACTGAAAACACACAGTGGCCAGAACAATGAACTCAACATACCAATGATCATGAAGATGGCACAAGACCAGGCAACATTTCATTATGTTGTACGTGGGGTCTCCAAGAGTCAACAACTGACTCCAGGGCAACCAACAACAACAACACCCATATAATGGAAAATTATTTGGCCATAAAAAGGAATGAAATGCTGATATACACTACAGCATGAACCTTGAAAACATCATGCTAAGTGAAAGAAGCCAGACACAAAAGACACATATATGATTCCATACATATGAAATGCTGAGGACAGGCAAATCCATAGAAATAGAAAGCAAATCAGTGGTTGCCGAGAGTTGTGGAGGGATGGGGAGATAGGGCTTAATGGCAAAGAGGTACGGGGCGGGGAGATTTCGGCGTGAGGATATTCTAAAACTGATTGTGGTGATGCTTCTACAAATTTGTGAATATACTAAAAACCAATGAATTGTACATTTCAAATGGGTGAACTATCTGATATGTAAATTATATTTAATAAAGCTGTTAGGGGAGAAAAAAAAAGAACGCTGGTAATGAAGTGTCTTGATTTTTGCTCAACTCAGCCTTCTCTGCAAGGAAGGACTGATTCTCCCAGCTCCTGAGAGTGCTACCAGGGATAGCTATCAGCCCTCTCAGGGGACAGCCAGAAAAACGGCCATGCCAGGGGCAACCAGCGTCCAATGCCTGATCAATGCCCAACTCCCCAACTCAGGACAAGTCTGAAGGGCCATTCCTACTCCAAAGCTCCACATAGGGTAGGCTGAGTCCTTGTTGGGGCTACAGTTTAACTCAATTTCTCCCTGTGCCCAATCCTGCTTCCTGCCCTTCCTTTCCACAGGTGTTGATCCCAAAATCACTCCCTAATAAATGTCTTGTAAGATAATCTACATCTTCAGAGTCAGCTTCCCAAGAACCCAACCTATGACATCACCCAAATAATGACAGGTTTTAATTAAACTAAAAAATAGGCTTTGAAAGAATGAGTCACCCCCAACCAAAAAAAAAAAAAAAAAATCATGGCATATAAATTTGATCATTATTTCTCTATCACTTGACTTAGCTGAAATTTTGAGTCCAATCAGATCAAATCTAAACAGTCAGGAATTACACCACATATACGTACAAACACACTGGGCTACAAGCATATTCCCCTTCTCATTAATCCTGACAGACATTACCTAGTCCGGGCTTTTCATCTTTTGTCTAAAATACAAGGACCTTCACGTCAATGTCTTCCCACCTTCCTCTGACGCAGGATTGCCTGTTTCTGCCTGTGGCCTGGCTGTGCCTATCCTCAAAACCCTACTTGTGGCTGCATATCACACCATGGGTCAAATTCAGCTATTCCTATTCACCACAAGATACCTCAGCCATCCCGGTCCACATTCCTTCTCAATCTTGAACATGCCCCAGGAACCAGGCTACCTGAGTTCAAATCCCAACTCTGTTACTTAATAGGCTGTGTGACCCAGGCAAGCCACTTAACCACTCTGAATCTCAATTTACCCATCTGTAAAATGGGGATAATAGCAGTTGGTACATCAAAGGAGAGGGTTAAACAAGCAAAGTGCTTACAGCAGTGTCTGACCAATAGGAAGCACCAAATAAGGTATTGTATCGTATTATCTGCCCATAGGCCCCTCTGTACACACTTCTCTTTCTCATTTAAAAAACTTCTTTAACACACAAATACTGTCTGAAAAGTGCTTATCCTCCAGCTCACCAAACCCTCTCTCCTCTATCTCTGTGACTGCCTTGGAAAGCCTGAGTCCTCC